TATCTCAGTCATACCCAGCTCAGCTCTTACACCACCTCCCCTAAATTCAATACATGTCTCACAGTTTCAGTCAGATGCTCAGGTGCTTAAATAGGTCTTCCCTAAGTGAAAAAAAAAGAAATGCTCCAACTCCAAGAATTTTAATAAATAGTTCTTTATTCAAGTCATGTGTTAGAAAATTTCTCCCAAGGACTGTACAAGTGCTCAGTGCTGGATGCTCTCTGCACCCCAGGAGAGAGAGCTGCTGGCACAGGGACCACCAAACAGCCTCTCCAGTGCCTGGACTGACCTGGTGAGCAGAATTAGAGAATATAAAGCATTTCAGTAAAGCAGCAATATGCAGCTATAGCAACTAAACAGCCACCTGAAAACTATGCAAGAAGCAGAGCGTGTTGTGTGTGTTGAGACACTGAAATTTAAGGAGTTTTATGTCCTCCTGTGGAAACATCAGTCCATGAGTTGGAAAAAAAATCAACTGTTTTCATCCAGGTTCTCAAGTCAGAAAGATGATTTTTCTTTCTGATCTTTGCTTGATAAAGTATGGGCTGGAATGAGCTTTAACAGCTGCCTCAGAGCAGCACAAAGCAGAGTCTAATCAGCTCTGATAAGTAAGCACAGCACAAATTATTGTGTATTTACAGAGGACTCTTAGAAAGGCTATTTCGAAGTGGAAATCTATATGATTTGGACTCGAGCACTGATTGTGTCTTATCCTGAACACTTCCTCATGTTCCTGAATTTAAACACTGGTTAAATTGACAAGACCACAAACCTGCAAACTAATCAACTAATGACAGATATTAAAGGCCACAAAAAATAAAAGGGATTGTAAATCTTTTCACTGGTATGACCTGGCCAACTGATCCCATGGGGAAATCAAAATAAAACAACCTCATGCTATTTGCCTGGGAATATTTTTCTTGCCAATTAATCAATAAATCCAATAAAGGTGAATGAAAATATTGATATTCAACCCAAATTCTTTTTCCACATACTTGTACAGATGCAGAAATATGGGTCAGAAGAGCAGAGCTCAGCTTACAACCTGTGTAAATTTTATATCTATAGTCTGTGGCTAGATTAAGTCCAGTGTAAAACCACTGTACTGCTTCAGTAACTTGGATTTTTGTCACTTTTTCCATTCTTTTCAAGGCCAGGTTGTATGGGGCTTGGAGCAACCTCATCTAGGGAGTGAAATCCCTGCCTACAGCAGGAGGTTGGAACTAGGTGAGTTTTAAGGTCTTTTCCAACCCAAACCATCCTGTTGATTCTGTGGTCCTGCCAATAAAGCAGCACAAATCCTCTCATTGCAGAGACACTGCCAAGCAAAACTCTGCTCTTCCCTTATCTCTCCTTCCACACAAAACTTTTCCCAGTGCAGTGAAAGTCCTGGAGCTCCTTGAGCTCATCCACTCTCCACAGAGCAGGAAAAGCTGTTCTAGAGCAATGATTCAATAAGAACCAGGGGCTCAAAAGGAGCCAAATCACACTTGTGCATATCTGTCCTCCAAATGGGGCTGTCAAGAAGAGGACTAATTCCTACTGCTGTTCAGTGTTTGGAAACAGCATTTATCCAGCCCCTCAGAAACACAGGGGGAACAGATAGAAGGAGCAGACTCTGATCCTCAGGAGGGAGAGGAAGGAGTTACTGCTCCACCTGTCCAGCCCAAGCATTGCTTTCCTCAAGTCTGTGTGTTTTCTTGGCTACTGCTCTAATCCATATGTTGATCATCCCTAATTTGACATCAGCAGTAGCAAAGGCTACAGAATACACACACAGACATATCCTGAGTGCCTAATGCCTGCCAGAGTTGGTGTCACTTCTGGTTTGCTGTGTTGGATCTCTGCAGGCAATGAATGATGCAAACACCAGTCTGCACTGGAGACAGTCCCACTGTCTGGGTCTCTTCCTTCCCGATCCTGTCTGGCATCAGACTAAAACCCTGCTCAGGATCTGCTGCAGGAAGCCACGAAAAAAGTTTGTTCCTTGGGGTGTAACCAAAAACCAGAGCTGGCAAACATGGTATTGTGTACACAGAAAGACTTATTCATGGGCCAAAAATAGTCTCTGGGTACCAGCAGTGTGCAGCACGTGGGTTTTAGATCGAGATATGTCTTCTTAAACCACTCCAGTTTTCATCTGGATGCTGAGATTGTGTTGAAAAGGGAAGTCACTACTAGCCTAGGGGAGGAGAGTCACACTTGGAGTCAGCATCACCTTTGCAGCTGTATCAAAACTGAATTTTCTCAAAACAAAGCACTCTTTCTCCTCTGCTCATGGATCCATCCCCCAGGGTTCACATCCATTTGCAACATCTTCATCACCCACTTGTCTTTCCTGGCTCCATCAATGAACTCATCAAGAGACAACTGCCCTGTGGAGGAGATGAGGAGGACACAAGAAGGGGTGTCAAAACAGGACAAGAAGAAGAAGGCAGGAAGCAAATACAATCTGGGTTTCAGGCAAGATGCTAATCAGACAAGAGTTTACTTCTTTCCCCATCTAGCTCAGCAGCTGAAGGACAAAGCACCAGGTGCACTCACACCTGCCCCATCCTACCATGAAACACAAAAAGTTGCAGTAGCTCACAAAGCCTCTCCAGGATTGCAGGTCTGATCCTGCAAGGCCCAGTTTGACTGGAAGCACTGTGTTTATTCAGGCTATTTGTGCTGACTGGGACCTGCCCTCTGACTCCTGGGGGCTCTCAATGGATGAGATGTGTGTGGCATCAAAATCCAGGCAGAACAGTGACCCCTTGTCCCAGTCTCTCACACCCCTCTGTATTTTACATTAAAACAGTGATGAAAATTATCTCCCTCTGCTCCAGCAAGTTACTTTTGATTCTGTCAAACAGACCAGAACCAAACCCAATGTGTCTATTCTGAGTAACATCCCAAGTGATTTCTTAATAGCCATAGTCAAATCCATCCTGCCCAGCACAGCTAAGTCATTAGGCACCAATGCAATCTGTGCCATCAACCACTTACCATCCCCATTCTCATCCACTAATTGAAATATCCTGTCCACAACCTCCTCTGGTGTGAGCAGTGGGGTCCTCTCCTCGGCCTCTGACCAACACACTTTCTTCAGCTTGTAGATAGACTGAAAAGAAGTTCACAAATGAAGAAACGAACTGGGAAATGAAAAGCAGTGAACTCCATTATCACCACAAGACTGCAAAGGTCTTTTACAAAGGCTGTGGGTTTAACCTTTCTAGAAAAATCTGCCACTCTGCAGCCTCAGATCTGTCACGAAACCTCTGACCTTATGCTGCAGGTTACCTCATTTGCTCTCTGAAGTTGCTGCCCTCCTATTTTCCTCACACATATTGGTCAGGCCTCAGGGTTCCTTTGCAAAGAACAAGGCAAGAGTTTCACAGATGGAAAAATCATCTGACTTGACTATGATTTTTTTCCTAACATCCAAAGCCAGGCACAGCTGGGCTTACCCACTCCTCTCTCCCAGGGAACCTGTGGCCAAGCTGCAAGATCAAGCCTGTATTAGCACATATTTTGACCTACACTTTCTGCTCCATTTTGTCACAGGAAAGGGTCAGATTTTATCTACTCCTCCAAGTGTGACAACCACCTGCTCATAGTTAACTTCACTCCTTAGGCTGAAGGGTTTTGTCTAAAGTCTTCCCAGAGAGGGGATTAGCAGTGGCCTAACACAGTTCTGGCCAATTCTTGGCTGACCTCAAAACTATAATAGAACCTGCCCCAGACAGGCTGCTCTGATGCTCCCACACCTTGGTGCTGCAGGTAACAAGCTGCTCACACCTCCCAGCCAAATTCCTGATGGTTCCCTTCAATTCCTGATGTTTTCTTGACACTGCATTTCCCCTGAGATCCCAAAATGTGTGATAGCCACCGACTGAGCCTCACCAAGTGTTGCTGTGCAAGGGGAACAGAGATGCAGAGGTGACTCCAGCACAACCACTGAGATCTTCACCTCCAGTAGGAGCACAGCTACCCTGTGACTATCTGCCAGAGATGGTGGCCCCAGCACAACCATTGAGATCTTCACCTCCAGGAACAGCACAGCTACCCTGTGACTATCTGCCAAACCCCAGAGCATTGCTGAGGTTGGAAAAGACTTTTAAGATCATCCTGTTCCCCCGTCACTGCCAAGACCACCATCAAACCATGTGCCACATCTCCACACCTCTTGAATTCCTCCAGGGATGGTGATTCCGCCCCAGCACAACCATTGAGATCTTCACCTCCAGGAACAGCACAGCTACCCTGTGACTATCTGCCAAACCCCAGAGCATTGCTGAGGTTGGAAAAGACTTTTAAGATCATCCTGTTCCCCCGTCACTGCCAAGACCACCATCAAACCATGTGCCACATCTCCACACCTCTTGAATTCCTCCAGGGATGGTGATTCCACTAGAGCCTTGGGCAGCCTGTGCCAGGGCTGGACACTCCTTTCAGTGAAGTGTTTTCTAAGCTAAACAAAAAGGTTTCCTAACATAATCTAAACCTCCCCTGCTGCAACTTGAGGTGAATTCCTCTTGTTCTATCACTTGTTATGTGGGAGAAAAAGACCAACTCCCACTTTGCTAATAGAATCATAGAACCACTTAGATGCCTCTTCACACAATCACTGATTAAATCTAAGTGCATAGCAGGAACCCAGAAAGGAATCCTTACAAAAGGGATTTCTCTACTGATTTGTGCCTCTCAGTGTGTTCTCACCAGTTACTCAGGCAGGAAACAGCCTCTATGAGGGACATGGGGTAAAATTCCCTTCCACTGGCCATAGCAGTGGATCTTGGTGGAAAGAGGTTGAAAGGGAAGGCAGAGACACAGGATCTCCAGCACAGCACCCAGATGCAGCATTTCTGGATAGCAGCAAGGGCCAGGCTGCCCACAGTGGGTATAACTGACCCCTCAGACACCTCCTCAGGCTCCACTGAGCACAGAACCTTTCACCATTTTCACCTCAACACCATCCACAGTTGCCTTGAAACCTGATGATCACAAACCCCATACACATCATTACATTGCCAAAGAGCAGTGATTGCTCAAAGAAGTGCTTGGGCAATGCCTCCTTACCTCAACAATTTCCAGCAGCTCAGGTTTATCTATGCAGCCATTCCCATCCTTGTCATACACTTTGAACGTCCATCTCAGCTTGTGTTCCAGTTTTCCTCGTAAAACAAGATTCAAGGCAGCTACATATTCCAGAAAATCGATGGTATTATCCTGTAGGAGCAGAAAAGCAGCAGCTGAATGACACTGAAGTGGGTACAGGTGATAGAAAACTGTTTTAAAAGCTCTAGGCAACTTGGATGAAAAGTGCCAAAAAGATAATTCATGGGACAGGTATTTATTAGCTGATTTAAAGAAGGTTTCTGTCAGTTCAGGACCATTAGTAAGCACAGCCATCCCCCTGTGCCCCAAGGCTGAGCTGCTGAGTGTGACAGCAGAGGAAAGCAATTCTCCTACAGTGCAATAAAGAGACACTCAGCAAACTCCAGAGATGAGGGATGTAAACACCCCACAAAAACACAGATTACCTGAAGGATGGGGAGGCAGATCATGGAGTCACAGACTGGTTTGGGTTGGAAAGGACCTTAAAGATCATTTCATTCCACCACTTGCCATGGGCAGGGACATCTTCCATAGACCAGATTGCTCAGGGCCCCATCCAAGCTGGGCTTGAAGATGAGGATCAGTGCAGGAAGTTTGGCTTTTTTGGGAAGGGATTGCCATTCCTAATTGCCATGCTGAAACCTACACCCAACCATCACCCCTTTCCCCATCCTTCTGTCTGGTTTCACTTCGATTCACCCGTGGAAGACTAGGACAGTGAAAGCATCACCATTCTGAAGGAGGCAGCAAGGACAACCACAACAAGGATTTACACCTCCTCCTGCAGATCAACACCCTCCCCAGGGCACCCTCCAACCATCAGCAAACCCCTGGGAGATTTGGGCTGTGCAACCTCCTCCCTTCACACTTGGCTGTGAGCCCCAACGTGCTCCACAGCCCCTGAGAGCAATAAGTGCTTGTGGTGTCCTTTGAAGGCCAAAGAGCATGAAAAGATGACTGAAAAATTGTTTTAATTTTCTTCCCATATTACCAATAAGCCTTTGCTTGTTAGGTCCTGCTCAAGTGATTATATACCATCAGGTTATTCAAGCAAAAACATGAGGCCTAATTTAGTGTTCTTAACACACACAAGTACCAGCATCCCTTAGAAACAGAGTTTTAGTCTTGTTAGGAATATTCCTGTAAACTACGAATGGGGCTTTGTCTGTTATGTGCATTATACCAGCATCCCTTAGAAACAGATTTTTAGTCTTGTTAGGAATATTCCTATTAACTAGGAATGGGGCTTTGTCTGTTATGTGCATTTTTTGCTCTGTAAATCTTTCATAACAGAATTTGGGATCTGAACCCTCCATTTTTTTGCAGGAATTTGGCTTTTTCCAACCTCCAATTCTGAGCCAAGCCTGACCTGCCCACACCTTCCACAGCTTTTATTTATCCTGTCTCACAAACTGACATTCATCACCACCCCAGTGTGATTTTGCCCCTGCTTTCAAACAGAGCTTAAAGGAAATCAGTTTATCAGGGAGGACTAACTTGTCTCCCCTTTTTCTGCATTGATACACAGCAATAAACAACTCCACACTTGGAATATGGTCAAAAACTTCAGGGGAAAAAAATAGAATTGTTTGGCAAGCATTGCTTAGCCATGTCCATCAAAAACTTCAGGGGAAAAAAAATAGAACCGTTTGGCAAGCATTGCTTAGCCATGTCCATGTGAGACCAGAGAAGAGCAACGAGGCTGGGGAAGGGACTGGAGCACAAGTGCCATGAGGAGAGGCTGAGGGAGCTGGGGGGGTTCAGCCTGGAGAAGAGGAGGCTCAGGGGAGACCTTCTCCCCCTCTGCAACTCCCTGACAGGAGGTTGGAGTCAGGTGGGGGTTGGTCTCTTCTCCCAGGCAACCAGCAGCAGGACAAGAGGGCACAGACTCAAGCTCTGCCAGGGGAGGGTTAGGTTGGAGATTAGGAAGAGATTTTTTCTGGAGAGAGTGATCAGGCATTGGAATGTGCTGCCCAGGGAGGTGGTGGATTCACCATCCCTGGAGGTTTTCAAGCTGAGACTGGATGTGGCACTTTGTCTAGTAACCACAGTCGGGTTGGATATGATGATCTTTGAGGTCTTTTCCAACCAGGTTGATTCTATGATTCTATGTCAAGATGAGAAAGGCAACAGTCTGACATTATTTTGAGTAACTAAAATATCCCAGGCCAACATTAGGCTGCCTTTGGCAGCAGTGCCTGGGTATGCATGAACTGTGACTAAACCAGAAATCCCACTTTCCACAGGTGTCTGGTGACAGATATAGCAAAGGGAATCAAAACCAGAGTGTCTGAATTGTTCAGCATTCCTTTGCTTTTGAAAGCCAAGCTAAAATCAATAGTTTGTTATATATCATCTGTTCATTCTCTCTCTCTCTCTCTCTCTCTCT